TCACCTTTCTTTGGAATGGGAACAAATATAGATCTCTTCCAGTCAGCTGGCCAAGTGGTTGTTCTCCAGATTTCTTGACACAACTTAGTGAGCACGTCCAGGGCAGCATCTGTTAGCTGAAATATGTCAGTTAGTATACCATCTATTCCTGGGGCCTTAGTTTTTGCTATTTCCTTCAAAGCAGCTTGAACTTCTTCCTTCGTCACCACAGGCTCTAACAAACTGTGGCAGACTCTGAGACGAATGGGAATCCCAGAACACTTGATCGTGCTAATACGAAACCTGTACTTGAATCAAGAGGCAGTCGTCAGAACAGAGCAAGGAAACACTGCCTGGTTCAAAATTGGAAAGGGCGTATGCCAGGGATGCATCCTATCTCCATATCTTTTCAACCTGTATGCAGAACAGATCATCCCGGAGGCTGGGCTGTATGAGGAAAAATGTGGCATCAGGATTGGTGGAAGATCTATCAGTAATCTGCATTATGCGGATGACACAACCCTGCTTGCTGAAACAGGAGGACGCTGAAACAGGCGCTTGCTGCAGAGGGTCAAGGACTGCAGCCTCCAATATGGATTGAGGCTCAATGTCAAGAAGACAAAGATTCTCACCACTGGGCCAATTGGCAGCATCAGGGTGGATGGTGAAGAGATTGAGATTGTTCACAGCTTTAGTTTGCTTGGCTCCACAGTCAACAGTCTTGGCACCAGCAGCCAGGAAATTAAAAGACATATTACGATGGGAAAGTCTGCTGTTAGGGACCTCTCCAAAGTACTGAAGAGCAGCGGTATCTCACTGGAGACTAAGGTGCATCTGATACAGGCCATGGTCTTTGCAATTACATGTTATATGTCAGAGTTGGACAATGACTAGGGAGGATAGAAGGAGAATTGATGCCTTTGAGCGTTGGTGTTGGAGAAAAGTTTTGAGGGTACCATGGACTGCTAAGAAAACAAACAGATTCATCTTGGAAACAGTTAAACCTGGCTGCTCCTTGGAGGCAACATTCTGAGGCTTCGTCTGACATAGTTTGGTCATGTTTTAAGGAGAGACCGGTCCTTGGAGAAGGACATCATCGCAGGCGCAGGAGGGAAAGGCCCTCTAGAAGATGGATTGATTCTGTGACTGGGATGAGTGTGTCGTAGACAATGAAATCAGCACAGGACAGAGCAGAGTTTAGGGCTGATGTACATAGGGTCGCTATGAGTCGCAAGCGACTTGATGGCACTTAACAACAAAAAACCAAGTTCTCCTCTGTTGCCCTTTCACAAGCACACTTGACGCTGTCGCTAACCCTTGGCAACTGCTAATTTGTTCTCTGTTTTTATTTTATCAGTCCAAGAATGTTGTATAAATGGAATCATGTAATACATAACTTGACATAGAGCTCAGCTTGATTCCCTGGAGACTCATCCAAACCCTATGTATCGATTGATTTATTTATTCAGAGTAGGGTTCAGTGTTATGGATATAGAACCATTCACCAGTGAAGGACATCTGAATTGTGTTCATTTTCTGGCTTTTGTAATTAAGGAGCTATGAAGTAACTTGTTGCTGTGATGCTTAACACTGTGACACTGATATGCCAAATGTGATAATGGCTACCCATGGTGGACAGAGTTTGGTGGAGCTTCCCAGTTAAAACAGGCTTGGAAGCAGGAGTGGCATCCACTTCCAAAATGACTTGCCTTTGGAAACTCTGAACAGCGTTCAGGTCTTTCGTTCACAGGGTCGGATTCAACGGCACTTAACAACAACATGAGCAGTGTATATAGAATTCTGTGTGAACGTATGTTTTACTTCTCTGGGCTAACTGTCCAGCAGTGCAACTGTTAGTCTACATGGTAATTATAAGTTTTGTTTTACAAGCAACTGCCAAATACTTTTGCAGAGTAACAGTAACATTTTGCATTCTCTCCAGTTATGTATGAGTGAGCCAGGAGACCCTACAGTTAAATCTACATCGGCAGTATCCCTCTTTTTCATTTTAGCTATTCTTATAAGTGTAATTTGGTTTTCCCTAATATTGATGTTGAACTTTTTAAAAAATGTATTTTTCTGCCATTTGTGTATTTTTTCCAGTGGAATATCTGTTCACATCTTTGGTTCATTTCTTACTGGATTGTTTGGGTTTTATTCAACTATTGAGTTTTTTTACCAACTATTGAATTTTTAAAGTTGTTTGTGCTTTGTAAGTTTGCAAATAATTTGAAATCTTTTCTCCCACTTTGTTGCTTGTTATTTCATCCTCTTTGGCTGAACAGAGTTTCTTATTTTTTCAAGTGTGATTTGTCAATTTTTCCACTTCTGGGTTATGCTTTTGTCATCAAGTCAAAGAAGTATTTATTTAGCCCTAAATCCTGAAGATGTCCTTCTTTATTTTTTCTAACAATTCTTTTTAATTGGACATTTACATTTAATTCCATGACCCACTTTGAGTTGACTTCCCCCCTTTCTCTTTTTTTGGGGTGGTTTTCCCCCACCCCCAATTGATTTTTTTTTTTATAAGGGTTTAGGTCAAGGTCCATTTGTTTATTTTGTTGGGGTTTTTTTGTTTGTTTGTTTTGTTTTGTTTTAAATCTTTGCTATCTAGTTCCATTTGTTGAAAGGTTCTTCATGATATTTTTTGTTGGCACATAAATCTTATCAAGAATCTTCTCTCCAGACCTCATTGTTAGGAGATTCTTCTGGAAATTCTCCCTTTCCCATTTATGTAAAGAAGAAAAAGAGTGTAAAAGTTGAAAGATGAAGGTCTGAAGCTAAAGGCTCTGTTTTTAAAATGTTTCCAGCACTAGCTAAGTAAGTTCGTGTCTTAACTGTTTGATTGTCACAGTTCTGTGTTTGAGCCAAGCTCAACTGCACAATGCCTATGTGGCTGTCAACTCTCAAGCTGGCTCAGGGCAGGTTGTCGGGGTCAGGAGGCCTCTACTGCATTGACACATCATTTCTGCTCCACATAGTCTTTCGTCCTATAGCAGGCTGCCGTTTTGCACATGAAGTACTTTGGCCAGGAGTTGAACCTTTGTCTTCCATATGGAAAGCAAGAGCTCTACCACTGAGTTGTTGTTATTGTTATGTGCCATTGAATCGCTTGCAACTCATAGTGATCCTATGTAAAGTCACCCTAAACTCTGCTCTATCCCTTGCCAATCTCACTGTCTCCAACACGCCTATCCCCATTACCCCAGTGATGGAATCAATCCATTTCATTGAGGGTCTTCCTCGCCTGTGCTATCCCTCCACCCTCCCAAGCATGACAACCCTCTCCAAGGACTGGTCCATCCTTGCAGCATGTCCATATTATGTCATACGAAGCTTCAGAATTCTTGCCTCCAAGGAGCAGCCTGGTTTCACCCTCTCCAGGACAAACTTGTTTGTTCTCCTTGCAGTCCATGCGCCACAGCTCAAAGGCATCAACTCTCTTTCTGTCATCCCTAGTCATTGTCCAGCTCTCTGAAGCATAGCAAGTAATGGCAAAGACCATGGCCTATATCAGGCACACCTTAGTCTCCAGACTAACATCATTGTTCCTCAGTACCTTGGAGAGGTCTCTGACAGCAGACTTTCACAATGCAATTCGTCTTTTAATTTCCTGGCTGCTGGTACCAAGAGTGTTGATTGTAGATCCAAGCAAACTAAAGCTGTCAACAATCTCAGTCTCTTCACCATCTATCATGATGCCGCCAGTCGGCCCAGTGGTGAGAATCTTTGTTTTCTTGACGTTGAGCTACCACTGAGTAGCTGTTTGAAATTGTCAGGGATTTGGGTTCCTTGTTGCTGCGTAGTTTTTAACATGCTTCCTTATTGTCTAACATGGCTGTGTGAACTCTGACCATTATATCTTATGACCTAACAAGCATGGCGGATGTAGGAAAGAAGTTTTTACTTGCTTTTTAAGGAACCTTCCTAAAAGTTCTACATACATTTTCACATGTTCATCATATAGTTGCATCAAGCTGATCAAAAAATGTGGAAAGTGGGGAGCTCTGGTGGCCTAGTGGCAAGGAGCTGCAACTACAATCCCACTGGCACACGGTTCGAATCCACCAGATGCTCTGCCCGGAAAAGGAGGAACAATCTCCTCCTGTACCAGTCAGATCTGATTTGACGGTATGCTCACACAAAAATAAAATTTACAAAAAAAAAAAAGTGGAAAGTGTAGTCTTTTGACTGATGCCAATATGCCTAACTAAACCTCAGGAATCTTTTCATTTAGAGGGATAGGGTGAAGGTAGGTAGGACCCATCAGAAGTAATAAAGGGCTCAGTGCCTAGCATTCAGTTTGTCTGCCTTACTTTTGACTGGTGGCCTAGTGACAAGAAGTTGCAGTGCAATCCCAAAGGCGTGTGGTTCAAGGCCACCAGCTGCTTACAGAAGGATGAGCCAATCTCCCATGCTATTAGCTGCCTCTGAAAAGCCACTGGAGGAGAGGGTCGCCTATGCATTGGTTTCGACTCTATGATGTACAACAGCTTTTCACTTTATACGACTATCTTTTTAATAACAAATCCTGGGAGGTTTTTTATTGTTGTTGTTTTGGGTTTTGCCATCATAGAGGAGTTGCTGGGTGACGCAGAAGCTTAAACATTGTTCATTCAACTGCAAACCAAAAGGCTGGCATGATTGAACCCATTCAGACATGCCTTGGAAGGCAGATGGGCTACACACAGCCTTGGTGGAGGGTCTCTGACTCGGAATCAACTGGGAAGCAACAGGTTAACAAAATCGTGTACAGTGTTGCAAGAAACAATCAGGAAAGCATTTCTTAGGAGTAGATATCCAAAGGATTAGAAGTTATGTCTATTCACCATTCATTTTCCTCCAGAAAGCTTCCCAGTTCCTTTTATCATTTTTCTGGGTATCTGTATCCATGTTACCACGTCAGGAAGAAAAATTATAGATGGACTGGTGACAATTTTTTATTATCCGTGATTTTAACTTTTCATGATTTCTCTTTTATGTGTTGGCCAGACTCTCCCTCCATTAATAGTGGTATGGTTTCTTTAATATGTTAATAACTTTTATGATTATGAAAGATATTTTTCTTGAATGAGTTTGGAAAATAATGTTCACTTTTTCTTTATTTTTGGACATTTACTCTGCCTCTAATTCTACCTATTGCAAAAAGCCATTTTAGGGGAGCTCTGGTGGCCTAGTGGCAAGGAGCTGCAACTACAATCCCAGAGGCGCCCGGTTCAAATCCACCAGATGCTCTGCCGGGGAAGGAGGGACAATCTCCTCCTGTACACTCACACAAAAATAATAAAATAATAATTTTTAAAAAGGCAATTTTACTGAACAACATTCTGGTAAATCTCTCATCTTTCATCTGAAATAACTTTCTGGACATGTGATTTCTGTATCGTTCCAATTTTAGTATATGTGCTGCCGAAGCGAGCACGGATATGTGATTTCTGATTCAACAAATATGCCCTCTTTTAAGAGTGTTGATATATTTTACCAGCATGTCTTCAAAAAAGACATTTGGCTTACATTCTCACAACAGTGTTTGAATATGCCTGTGACCTCTGTACTGGGTAGAAACTCTCACACAGTAAGAGATAAGAACATGCTCCGTAGATCTTCTGATACATTATTGTGTCTGTGCATTCCTTTTCCCTCCTCTTGATTTGTCCTTGTTTCTAGGGGCTACAGACCGGGTCCATCCTTCAGCTATCAGCCATGTTCGTTCTTGGAGCAACATTCCCTTCATCACCGTGCCGCTCAGTCGTGCACATGGCAAGTCCTTTGCCCACCGCAGTGAGCTGAAACATGCTAAGAGAATCGTGGTGAAACTGGGGAGTGCAGTGGTGACCCGAGGGGACGAATGTGGCCTGGCCCTGGGGCGCCTGGCATCTATCGTCGAGCAGGTAATTGCCAAGAGGGGAAAATCCTGTTAAAACAAAATATCATAAGAGTTTTCTCATCATTGGCTCAGGATTTTGACTTGTAAAATTAATCCTGAGGATAGTGCAATAGATTTCACCCAATCTGGAAACTCTTCTTTCTCAGTGTAGATGCCAAGGAGAAATAACATCCCAGAACAAGACACAGGATTGCCGAGGAGAAGAGTTGATTTTTGTGGTTCATTCTGCAGGCTTCTTGGTGATAAGAAGATGCATAGTTCTTGATTCTGGCTGCATATTAGAAAAGAGCCGAGACACGCCTGAGCTTAGCACCAGCACTGTTTATTTAATAAGTGTCTCTCGGATGGAGCCTGAGCAGCTGAGGTTTTCAAGTTCCCCATATGACTCTCATGTGTAGCCAGGGTTAAATGTCCTGATAGATGAATGTAAATATTGAGAGGTTTGGGTAGCTTTCTCTTTTTTCATTTAAAGTACCTGATAATCTTGAATTAAATGTCAGCTGTCATGACAAAGATTTCTGAAGTTCAAATACTAGAAAGGTTTCACCACAATCCTCACAGCATATACATGTGAAACCAAAAAACCAAACCATCTGTGATCAAGTCGACTCTGACTCATGGTCACAAACTTTGGTCTGGTTTCCAAGCTATAAATCTTAACTAGAGCATCTTTATACCCAGCACTTAATGACTTTGAACCACTGACAACTTCAGGTAGCAGAATGAACGTGTGAGTTTGTTAAGGGGAAAAAAGATTTAGCAAGAGAGAGTGCAAGGAAGCCTTGGCTGTCCAGGAGAGATCCTGTGAATAAGCTAACAAGATCCTTTTTGCTCATGAACCACACCTGTCTCCAGATTGTACCATCAAAATCCACCCATGCCAGGAATTTTGGCTTTGAAAAGCTCGAAGCTTTTCTCTTATTTTATGCAGTCAAGGCAACTTACTGCAAGCTATCAGTAAAGAAATGGACCTTGGAGATCAGCAGGGGAGTTTTGAACTTTAAACATTACATCAGAATCCCCCTGCCTTTACCTTGGGCAAGAGCAAGGGTCAGCACACTTTTTCTGTGCAGAGATAATAAATACTTTGATTTGTAGGCTGTACAGTTAACTCAGCTGCTAAAATCCAGGCTCAATACATAAATAAAGTATGTTTTCCAATAAAAATCTACTTATAAAACAACAAATCAAACTTTATATACAAATGTAGATAGAGGATTGGATTTGGCCTTAAGGCTATAGTTTGCTAACTGTTGTCCAAAATTAAAAATAAAAACAGACATCCAGACATGCCTATGGTGGGGTTTTTTTTTTGTTTTTTTGTGTGTGGGTTTTTTTTTTGGTCCACTAGTAATAAATCACTCTGGCTTCTATAACCATACTTAAGGTTTGCTTAAATTTTTTTTTTTAAATAAAGCAAACACCAAAAGTCCACACTGTACACTTTGCTGAAGAGTTGGTTTCGGGAAATGCGGCTGTGTAATCAGGAGAGGGAATTTGCTCTCAGCCACTTGCTAGTCCATTAGCTGTTGAAAGGAATGTGCAAGGGGCAGTGGCTGGCACAAAGAACTTTATAATTTATTCTCACCACTGTTGAGGTTTACAATTTTCCATGACAATTGTAGGGTTTTGTTGTTGCTGCCAAACTGTAGTTAGTCATAGCTGTTTGTGAGTTCCTGCTTTGGGCACTATAGTTCAAACAGGTAGACAGGTTGGAAACAGTCTCTGTGTATCTTGAGTTTGCTTTTTCATGTGACTCTGCTGACCACAGGAAATTAGATGACCGGCACTGGCTACAGACAAAGGAAGCAGATCAGGGAAAACATCTGTCCCTGGTTCATGAGGATCAGAAATCAAAGCAACAAACTCTGTCAACGAGGCTGTGCCTCCTCATAGCAGCGCCCCATTGGCTTTCATGTCGTGACAAAACCACGCTGCCCTTCTTTCTCCTAAGGAACAGCTATTGCATTTGAACAGCTTTTTGTTAGCAGCACAACGTACCACATCTTACATCACCATTGTTAAGAACGTCGCACTTTTATCTGCCATCTACTAAACAGGTTTGAGGCAGAAAAGAAAGGTTTGAGGAAATCTGTACTTTCTCCAGTCTGACTGATCCTTACAGAGCCTACCAAGTGCTAGTCCACAAACCAGCATTTATGATGGCTTACGACCCATTTAACAGTGAATTCAAACATATCAAAGAGCTTGAAGTCACCTCAGAACTGTGCAACCTTTGGTTCTTTTATACATAACGCAGGGAGTTCTGGTGGCCTAGTGGCAAGAAGCTGCGCTTCAGTCCTGAAGGCACTACATTCGAGGCCACCAGCTTCTCCGTGGCTACCAGCAGTTCTGCGGGAGAAGGATGGATAGTCTTCTCCTATGTGTTAACTGCCTGTGTAAACCCACCCGAAGTCAGATAAGGGTCAGTTTGTACTATATTCAACAACAACAACATATATAATGTCATTGTACGTTAGCACCAACTGGATGGCAACAAGCGTTAATTTCTTAATGAATAAAGAAAATAAATTATACAGTGAGTCATGGTGCCATTCCTTCCTCAATGTCAGGTGTCAGTGCTGCAGAACCAGGGCCGAGAGATGATGCTGGTGACCAGTGGAGCCGTAGCCTTCGGCAAGCAACGCTTGCGCCACGAAATCCTTCTGTCTCAGAGTGTGCGGCAAGCCCTGCACTCAGGGCAGAACCAGCTGAAGGAGATGGTGAGTGCTTCTTCCCCACACCCCGTAACAGGTACTCAGCCTTCCATTCCTGTTCTTTACCTCCAATCACACCTGATATGATTGATGTGTTCCAGGCAATTCCAGTCCTAGAGGCACGAGCTTGTGCAGCTGCAGGACAGAGCGGGCTGATGGCCTTGTATGAGGCTATGTTTACCCAGTACAGCATCTGTGCGGCCCAGGTGAGAAGCCAGACCCAGTGGGGGCTTTGGAGACATGAGTGTGGCTCGTATGGAGCAAGCAGCTTAAGAGCAGGTTCTAGAGCCGGGAGGCCAGGATACAGTTTTGACTGTACACTTTGTAGTTTAGGAGAGCTGAGGATAGTCTTTAAGTCTAGCTTTGGTGTGTGTACCTGCTTCCTCATGTAATAAAAATGGAAAGTAATGTCTAGTACGTAGTAAGTACATTCTCCATATATGTTTACCCTTATGCAAATAAGTCAAAGAACTTGTAAAAAGAATAGGGGTGCCCAAGTCTTATCCCTGTTAACTTCCTTCACCAATAAAAACAGTCCCCATCAGCAAAATCCATAATGTAAAACCAGTTCCATAATGCCCAGATATCCAGCCATAATTGAATGGATTGAGAAATGATGGCACATTCACACAGTGGAACAATGATTTTGTAAATTATTAACTTGGAGGGATTGGAGAGCATTATGTAAGTGAACTAACTCAGTCATGTAAGGATAAATATGGTATAAGACCATTGTAGAATGAGTATGAGGATCCAAGGCGGGGGGAGGGGGCAACAGAGGGGTGAGGATGGGCAGGCGTGGGGGGAGAGGTGGGTAAAGGAAATGGGGAAAACCTGGTATGAAAACAATATATAAAAGAAAACAATGTATACAAACTTTGCAAGTAAACCAGTATAAAATAAAAATTTATCTTAAAAAAAAAAAAAAGACAATTCCTATGAGGTCAGACATGTCTCCCATGCTCTCACACTTACCTTTACCAATTTCAGCACTGATCTTATGCTCTACTACTGGGTCCAGTGTCCTCTGCAGTACTTACACAGATCTCCCAGAATCATTCTCACAGTTACAGAGTTAACTAGGATACAATTCCTCAGTTAGGATAGCTTCTCACATGTGCATATAAACCCTTCGACCTTCAGCCTCATGGCTCAGGTCAGTGTCCTAAAATGTTCTTAGTTCTAATTATGGCATCTCTAGTCCTTGACAAGCTGTGCGAAGGCCCTTAATTCTGGCTCCATGGGGCAGCCGTCCCAAGTCAGCTCTGTCATGTGGGTCTCTGGTTTTCCGTTGAGTCTGCTTGTGTGGTGCTGGTCTGACTGGCACAGGATTCTCTGACCCCAGATGATGCAGGCTACGTTCTCTGCATCTTCTTCCTTGCTGGTCGTCAGATTTTCTCCTCTGCTGCCAGATCAGCTCAGTTTAAAACTGCTGGAATGGGAAAACTGACCAATCCCTTCACAGGACTTTTATTCATACCCTCATTATTCTTTATACCCAGCCATGTGATGTAAGTCAAAGCCAAAAGCTAGGAAAGCCATTTTGAATCATAAACCCAAGACACCTCAAAACCGCTACAAGAGCTTCCTGTTATTGTTGATCTCACGTGAGATTACTACCCTTCTTTATCCCACAGAAGCAGCAGGTGGATTCAAACCATGTGCATTTGGATTGCAGCACAATTTTTTACCACTAGGCCACCAGAGCTCCCTAGTATTTACCCTGAAAACTGAAACAACTAATGTCTATTTCATTGGATTTCATAATCTCAGGCATCTTGCCATTCTTTGTACTTGATTGCCTTATTTAATGTCTGTTGAGCACTGAAGGGAAAGAGGGGTCCTAGTGCCAGGTTTGGTTTTCATCCACCAAATATTTATTGAGCACTTACAGTGTACCAAACAGTGTGATAGGTGTCAAGGATACTGTGGTGAACGAACCTCACATGGTTACTATTCTCATTGAATGTGGGGAATAAAGTACCTTTACAAGTCTTGTGCATACTTACAGAAGTCTCCAAAGTGACTCCTTTTTAGCATTCACCCCTGCGTATTCTAGGACATTCTTTCTAAATCAATTATTTTTTTACCTAACTTTTTTCAGTTGTGTTTTCAATCAATATCAGTTGTCTCACAGACAACTGAAAAGACTAAATTTTTTTTTCCCTCCACAGTGATGTTTTGATGTTAAACAAAAATTACCTTGAGTAGTTGGTTGAAACCGAAAGCCATCAGTCATCTTGTGGAGACAATTTTCCATAATGTTAAGAGTTTTTTATGTCAGCAAAATTGCATTGGAGCAGCTGGTGGACTTGAACTACTAACCTTTCAGATAGTAATCCAACACATAAAAGACTATCTTTGTGCATATCAGCTGTTGTCTCTGTTATTAAGGACCTGTAAGAGCTCTGCTCCCACATTTCTCACAAATCCCAATCCTTGCATGTCTGGTATTTTTGTTTTGTTTTGTTTTCATCCTTCCTGGATGATTTTATCTGTAGGAAATAGTCTATATTTGCATCTTTTCCTATGGTTCAATATTCTTTTTATATATTTCTTTTTAAAAATTTTAATTTTTATTACTTTTTATGTGTGTACCGTCAAATCGGATCTGACTGGTACAGGAGGGATAGTCCCTCCTTCTTCAGTATAGCATCTGGTGGATTTGAACCACATACCTCTGGGGTTGCAGTGCAGCTTGTTGCCTCTAGGCCACCAGAGCTCACCTCCATATTCTATTTAACAATTCCATGTAGAAAATTCTTATTAGTGTCTTCTGGAAATCTGTGAGTTTTTGCCAGGCTAAAGTCTTAAACATAATAACTCATATTCTTCATAGAAATAAAATGGATTTGTGTCTCAAAGGTTGCCCTTTTGCAAGCATATACTTTTCTGTCTTGGGCTCTGTCTCTGATCTTTATGGACAGATCTCTGGGCCTTTAGACATACCCTCCTTTATTCAACCTTGTCCTGATCCTATATCCTATGGGCTAAACATATTTATAAAGAGGAGTCAGTGGCTTTCTCTAACAAAATGGACCCCTTTCCCCCTTCCTTTAATTGTCCACATTTTTATTGTCTATCCCAGTAGCTAGTGCAAAGGCCTGATATTGTTAACCTTAATTAGCTTATTATTTATCCAATTCCTAAATAACGTGCCTCCAGAAACCCTATGAACTTTGATAAATGTCGATAGTAGTAGAGAGATTTCAGGCCTTTTGTTCATAGGGTCGCTGTGAGTCATGCTCGACCCGAAAGCAATCAATAACAACTATAAGCTTATTATCAAATTAATAAAGGAATATTACTTCCCTTAGTTATGTTACCCCTACGTCTTCCTCACCCACATTTTGTCTCTTAAGGTTCCATTTCTTCTCTCTAGTGTTGCTATTTTCTTCTCTATCACTATAGCTAGATCTTGATACTACCACTAACAACTCACATTTTGACTATTTGTATATCAGAGACAATAAGGTTGGCTCAGCATAGAGCAGGTTTCAGAGCGATTGTACACAGGGTCACTGTGAGTTACAAGCGACTTGACGGCACATAACAACCTTTCTTTAATCTGCTTTGTTTTATTTTAGCATATTCTACATAGCCAAAACCCTTTCCTTAAGTATCAGAGAGATTATATTAATGCATTATTTGTCAGCTTTAGGAATTGTTGCGACTGACTTTTATTGTCATCTTCATTTATTTTTTTTCTTCTGCTAGAGCTCAAGGGAGCTCTGGTCACCTCGTGCATATGGAGTTGCATTGCAACCCAAAGGCTTTGACATTCTGGAATCCACCACGGGCTCCACGGGAGAAAGATGGGCAGTCTCCTCCCTTGTGATTTATAGCCTTCCTTGGAACCTAAATGGAGGGTGAGCTATGAGCCAGTCCAGCTCCACGGCAGTGAGTGAGAAACACTGGCCAGTACTCTTGATTCAGACAAGAAAGTAAAACTTGACCACTGCTATGCCCTCAGCTGTTCTCTCAGCCTTTGAGCAGCTTGTGCTCTTTTCTTCTTCTGAACAAAGATTGTCTGGCTCTTCCTTCAGACTTGAGGACTCACTTTATGGTGTGCGTATGGACTCAAGCACAGGCTTTGTAAATTCTGGCAGCGATCTGCTTCAGAGCAAGGACAATAGCAGTTTGGTTTATGTTGTTTCTACTACACATTTCCCAACAGGATAAGCATTTATTCATTCACTGCATATTTAAGTGCCTACGACGCCCTCGAATCAGATGCTAGGATACAGAGATATTATAGAAATGAATGATGTAGAATAATTATACAATGAATGAATGCATACCTGCAATGATTGCCTGAGTAGGCACATGAGTTTTCTTAATTTTGCAAATAGATAGAATATGGTAGTCATGTGGGGATTAAAGTACCTTTACAAATTTTAAGCACACTTGCAGAAGTCTCCAAAGTGACTCCTTTTTTTTAATCTCTAAATGACTTGGATAAGCAGGCATCCAAAGGTGTATCGCTTATCTATGTGGAGACCCAGTAGCCCTAAAGTTTGGTCCTCCCCTACTCTTAACATCTTTTTTATGCTGTTCCTAGGTAGTTCACCATATGGTCCCTTCTGCATGTTTGGTCTGTTTAATTCTTTCAGATTTTGGTGACCAATCTGGATTTCCACGATGAGCAAAAGCGCCGGAACCTCAATGGGACACTACATGAGCTCCTCCGGATGAACATTGTCCCAATTGTCAACACAAATGATGCTGTTGTCCCCCCAGCTGAGCCCAATAGTGACCTCCAGGGGGTAAATGTGGGTAAAGTATTCCTAAGGGTTTAGCATGTTGAAGACACTAATGCCGCTCTGTGCTGCATGCACTAACACCAGCAGTTGGGCATAATCACAAAGGAGCAATCAGAAAAGCTGGCATCATGGAGCAGTGGCTGCCTAAGCATTTCTGAAGTCGGGGTGGGGTGGTGGGGAGATGCACTCATAAGGGTGAGGTGCTAGAGTGCTTGAGGGCCTGCTGTGAGCATGGCTTGTGGATAGGAGGCTGCCTGTTTGGGAAAAGGGCTGTTGCTGTGTATTTGTTGTTTGCAGGCATATGGAGCTTGCAGGAGCTGCGTTCCACAGATTCAGTCACTGGTGTTGCTGGAGCCTAGCTAAGTGCTCTGTGAATTTCTTTTTGGATTTCATATCCCACTAACTTACAACTTTGTAACCTACATTCCAGGTCATTAGTGTTAAAGACAATGATAGTCTTGCTGCCCGTCTGGCCGTGGAAATGAAAACCGACCTCTTGATTGTTCTTTCAGATGTTGAAGGTACAAAGTAATTTCTTCTTTTCTTTTAAGTGAGACTTGTGTCAGCACATGAGTTTCCTCCCTTAATTGAGATCATTTTTGTACTATGGAAAGTTGTTAATTTCAAAGACATAAGGGCTGACAATTTTTATGACATGAAAGAGTGAGGGCAAGTCAGAAATGTGCAGCTTGAATGCTGAGGTGTTATTTCTAGGCCCTTTGCATTTTCCCTCTTGTTTCTAGCTTTCTTTAGATATGATTCATATACTATACAATTCACCTATTTAATATGTACTAATCAGTGATTTTTCCCCCGGTCTTCAGTTTATTCACAGAGCTGTAAAACCTTTTCTCTTTCAATTTTAAAACATTTTCTTTATTCCAAAAAAAAGCTATACCAAGAGCAATTATTAGGTAATCACAGACTTTCTGTCTCTTTGAATTTACTCAGCATATTTCAAGATTCACTTATTTGTAGAATGAAACCCATTTGTACCATGATTTGTAGCACCCATACTTCATTTTCTTCTTAATACTAAATAATACTCTGTTTATGCATTCATATACATTATTTTATTTATTCATTCATCTGTTGAAGACAATTTAGATTGTTTTCCCTTTAGGGCTATTATGGATAATCCTGCTGTAAACATTTGTGCA